AGACAGAGGAAGCAAGGAATCAATGTTATAGAAAAGTATGTATCTATTGTTTATCACAATTTTTTTATTGAAGTTTCTTTTACAACAGAAATGTATTATATATATGTAACTAGTGCCAACAGTTGAGAATTTAGTTACATCTTTGAATATAGCTGTATGGAATAGGAAATGGCAACCCACTCCAGTACTCTTGCCTGGAAAATCCCATGGACAGAGGAGCCTGGAGGGCTCACAGTGCATGGGGTCACAAGAGTCGGACATGACTGAGCAACTGAGCAGGCACTGAGTATAGCTGTAGTAAATGCTGCATTCAGATGGGAAGCCAGGGCATTACTTTTGGGACCAAAACATGTTCTATTATTTTCTTGGTAACAATTTTGATTGTGTCATTATTTGAGCATCAGCACTTAGGTAATGCCTTACAACAGTTTAATCTCCCCTCCCCATAAGGCATCATTCTTTGCTGGAAATGAGAGGAAAGGAGGAAATGGAAAAAAAAAAAGGAGGAAATGGGATGGGTTGGACAGCATTTCTTCTTTTTTTTTTTTTCCAGATGGCAATTTAAGGACTTATTTATGGCTAGACCAGCAAGGCATGCAGGATCTTAGTTCCCTGACCAGGGGTTGAACCCATGCCTCCTTCACTTCCCTCCTTCCCCCAGCCCTTGGCAAGTGCTAGCCCTGTTTCTGTCTGTATGGATTTACCTATGCTGGACATCTCAAGTGGAATCATAGAGTGTTTGTCTTTTTGTGACTGGCATCTTCCACTTAGCATAATGTTTTCAAGGTTCATTTGTATTGTGCCATGTATCAGTACCTCATTCCTTTTGTATGGCTGAATAGTATTTTGTTTATCCATTCATCTGTTGATGGAAATTTGGTCGTTTCCACCTTTTGGCTATTGTAAATAGTGCTGTTGTAAACACTCATGTACATGTTTCTGTTTGAACACCTGTTTTTCCATTCTCTTGGGTATATATACCAAGAGTGGAATTGCTGGGTTGCATGGTAACTGTATGTGTAGTGTTTTGAGAATTGCCCAACTGTCTTCAACAATGACTCTGCCATTTTACACTCTCACCAGCAATTCCTCCATATCCTTGTCAACACTTGCTATTTTCTGGCTTTTGAATGTCTTTATTTACTTGTATCAGAGCCCATCCTTGTGGGTTTATCCGTTGGGGTTCACAATGCTTTGGGATCTGGCAGTGTCACACTTCACTTTACATTAGAATCTCCTGGGTTTTTATATATTTATTTTAATAACCCAATGCCTGAGCTGCAGGCTAAGGGAGCAGCAAGAGCTTCTAAAGTCCCCTAGGTGATTCCAGTGTACAGCCCAAGTTGAGAATCATTGTATCAAGGATTCCAGGCCCCTCTCGGATAATATACTCTTTTTAATCAGAAATTTAAATAAAAAACAACAACAACAAAAGAAATTTAAATCATGTTTAACTAGCTAGGCGAGGCCCACATTCATCTGAGAAATGGTGGGGGAGTGATCCAGATTTCTGTCAGCCATTGTAACCCTAACAGCTAAGGCCAGTTCTTCTTTTTTATTTTTAAGAAAGGAAGTGATTTCACCACAGCTGTACACAGGAGGGAGGGAGGCAGAATGTCTCCAAGGGTCCCAAGTGAACTGGTGAAAAAGCAAACAACAAAACAGTAAAACAAAGGGCTACTGGGGAGCACTCCCCGCCGGCCCCCTACCTCTCCTCACAAGGAAGGTTTGGACTATAAGCCCAATAGGTGGCCTCTGGGTTCTTATAGCCCCAGGAGGTGTCCAGTTAGTACCCCCACTTCCCTGCCACCACCACTGCCTTCTCCTTTTTAACACAGTTCTTTTCTGTTTTCGATTTTCTTCTTCCCAGAAGGTAGCTACTGTTATTAACTGTGCAGGATAGTGTGGTTCTTCTGAGTTTTTAAAAACTGTTGCGGACGTGCAAGTTGGCATGACTGCCAATAAGCAGATGGGCCCCTGCAACATGAGTTTTGGATGAGAGAAGTGTATCACAGTAAGTAGCATTTTGCTAAGAGGGTTACCTCAGTTTTTCCCCTCTACGTACTGACTTAATCTTATTGTCACCATCTTCCACCCACCACCACTGCGCCCCCTCCCCACCCCGCCCCGCAGCAACACCTGCAGTGGAATAGCCCTGCAGTGTGGGGATCCACGGGGCATCACAGAGAGAGGGCTCAGGAAGGACCCCATGTAGCAGTGGGTTCTCTGGGGAACGCTGAAGGAAGCTGGGTGTTGCTCTGGGTTGGGTGCTCTCAAGAAGCAGGGGTGAGTCCTGATGGGGTATCTTAATAACCTTACAGAGAAGGGGGAAGACCAGACTAAGGCTGGGATTGGTGAAGAAGCCAAAGCCACTCCTAGGAGCCAGGACCCACGGACGTTGGTTGATTTTGGTGGTTTGGACAAGTTCCTGCTCCGTGTTCTGACAAGATTCCGGAGTGGTCCTGTTTTTGTTCAGTCCCATCTTGAACTCAGAGTGGCCTTGTCTGATGTTGGAGTTCTGGGGAATTGTTTGTGTTCAACAGGAGAGTGCCTGGCCAGCTTTTGTCAGATACCAGGCGCTGCTTTTCTGTCTCAGGCCTCCTTTGGGCCAAGAATAGATGAGGGCAGTCAAGAGGACATTAATCCATGATGTCTACATTTTTACCATTGCCAAGATTTTGTTGATGATGAGGATGTTGCTTTGAAAATTCAGGCTGGAGTTGGGTAAGTCTCTTCTGCTTTTTAAAAATTTATTTATTTGAAATGGCTGTACTGGGTTAGATTGTTGCAGTATGTGGGATCTTTAGTCATGGCATGTGGGATCTAGTTCCCCAACCAGGGACTGAACCCAGGTCCCCTGCATTGGGGAACTAGATTTCACACCCCAGCCGCTGGACCACCATGGAAATCCCTCTTCTGCTTTTTTGTTGCAGGATAAGTTTCTGAATTCTCTGATGTGACCATAGTTTCACAGAAGACACACACCAGTCAGCTCTAACACAAACAGTTCCCACAAACAAAGTGATTATTCGTCCTCTAACAGACTTTGAAGTGAGGGACCTAGATTATAAAACCCAGGCAAGGAGAACACCTTCCAGAATCGAGATAGGTACTCACAGCCCAGTTGGAGGTATTTAAAAAGGCCTCACGCCTTTGATTCTTGTCCATGTCCTACTTTTAACAATCTTGCCAGAATCCTGTCGTTGGTAGGTGATACAGGCATTGTAAACATGCTTAAAATTACCCCAACAATGCTGGCTCCATGTCAAGGCCCATTTATCGCTGATGCTATGCTAACAGTATGAAGCATTTCTGTTAAACTCCGCTTTTTTTGTGACTGTCCGATGAGTTAATGGCACAGCGTCTTGATTTTCCTCTCTGTCTGTTTTGCACCTGCAGAGGCAAGGCCGGGCACTAGCTCTGGCCACTGTCAGCTGTCCTGCCAAGACACAAGCTGCTAAGCACGACTGGCTCCATAATTTGCAGGCCCAGTGCGGAATGAAAACAAGAGGCCCCTCGTTCAAGATTTATTAATAATTTCAAGACAGTGAGAGCAGAAAGGTAAACCAAGTAGAGGACCCTTCTGAGCCTGAGGCGGCCTGTCAGAGCCCTGCTGCACCTGCAACATGGCAGACAAAACAACTGGGTTCCCAGGGCCCTAACTCCAGAGGAATGGCCAGAACTGGAGAACATTCCAGGAAGCAAACAGGAGCTGCAGTCTGAAGATTAGAGACTGAAGGCCAAGATAGCAGAATAGCTACTGTAACTGAGGACTCTGTGATCCACAGAAGAAAGCAAACTGTTCAGGGCAACAAACAGGCGGCCTGGGCAGGAGAAAATCAATGTGGGGGCTGAAAGCAGATCCAGTTCTTAACAGGATGGTCTATTGAAGACCACTGATGAAGAAACTGGTCCAGTTCTTGAAGAAAGGTGAAGGACTCGGCAAAAGAGCCAACAAGGAGTGTCTGCAGAAGAGATAAGTTTAATATCTAGGTTCGCCCTGGCCTTGTAACAAGGAGGTAGAATTCACTGATCTAGACTTTGTCCAGCCATTTCAGCAATTTCTGAGGAACTTGGGAACGCAGGGAGAGGCACAAAGGACTGATGGGATGATGGAGGCCTTTGCCCAGGGACAGTGTCATCAAGAAGGCTTTAGTGCCCAGATGCTGCTATCCTCTCCTTTGCACATCTTGTTGAATACCAGCTAGAACCCCCAAGTCATAGAGAAGCCCGCAGGAGAAAGGTTCACTGCCATGAACAGGGCCATCAGTGATGGACGAGCAACTCCAGAAGCTGTCATTTCTCAAATTAACATTAACCACGTTTGCCTCTCACTTGCTTCTTCCCAGTTCCCATTTTTCACACACACAAAAAACGTAGCTAACTAACATGTAATACCGAAGAGCTTTCTATTCGGTGCTGAAACGCAGAGCCGGCCCTGGCTGACGATAATGGCAACAATTTTAATGGATTAAATTGTAGCATTTGAAGAGTTAAGAAAAAGGCGGCAGTACTTTTAGACTCCAGGGTGGATCCAAGCATTTCATTTTCTTGGCTTGGCCAGGAAATCAGAGGGGCCTGGGTTTGGGGGCCGGTCTGGGGGAAGTGCGGGGGGTGGGCCCCCCGGAAGTCGTGCTGCGCGGTTTAAACCTAAGGTGACCTAACGGACGGCGGGAGCGCCCGCCCGATCCTCGGCGCGGGGCGCGGCCATTGGTGACGCACGCCGGGGAGCACGGCGCCCACGTTTCCACCATTGCCTTCGCGCGGCCTCACACCCGGCGCTCCGAGTCCGGGGCTGCGGGCGTCCTCTCCTCTTCCCTCCCAGAGGCGGGCCCGCCCCGCCCCCGGCGCCCCGGGTGGCTCCCGGCGGCCCCTCCCACCTCCTACCCTCGGCCTCCCCGGCGCGGCGCACTCCCCGCCGGCCGCAGCCTGACACGCCGCGCGGCCCCCCCAGTCTCCCGGCCGTCTCCCCCAGGCATGGCCCAGGGCTTCGCCTCACTATGGCAGCAGCACGGCACAGCACCCTCGACTTCATGCTCGGCGCCAAAGGTGAGGGCGCGCGCCCGCCACCTGCCCTGTCGCTCCCGCCACCGAGCGGGCTGAGGCCGGCGAGGCCGGGCGGGGCGCGCGCCGCGGGCCGAACAATGCGGACGGCCGCGCGGCCCCGGCCCCGGCGCGGGCGTCTCCCCTGCTGCCGCGTGCACCGGCGCCCGCGCGGAGGCCGCGCTCCTCCTCCCGCCGCGCTCGGTCCCGGCGGGGGCGCGGGGCCCGGAGGGGCCGCGCCGGCTTCTTCCTCGACCCGGACCGAGCCGCCCTCCGGGGCCCGGGCCGTCCACCCGCGTCCCACGCGGGATCGGCCGTCCCCGTCGGGGTCCCCTGGCGTCCCCCGCGCGGGAGGAAGATTCCCGGGGGGCCGCGTCCCCCCCCGGGGGCGGGGGGCGTGCGCGGAGGCCGGCCGGTGGGACCGTTCCCCCTTCCCAGTTCCCCGAGGCGCGTAAATTCCCCGGGGGCGGGGGCTCCCCTCGTGGGAGCCGGCCTGGGGCAGGACCGCGCCGCGCTCGCAGAATTCTCAGACAACTGCGTAGGAGACAGATTCCCCCGGAAAGGAAAGGGGCAGGGGAAAAGGAAACGATGATTATATTATTATTGGGGGGGCGGTGAGGTCCGAGCGCGGGAACTGTTAAGTCTCGGGGTCAGGGAGGCTTCGAAGACCGCGAGCCGGCCAGAAGAGAGGGCTGGGAAAGTCCGGACCGACCGCGGGAATCGTGGAGACGAAGCGTATTCTGCACGCTTTTTTCTGGTGCTTCTAACACGGGGCGGGGGGAGGGGGAGGGCCGCTGGTCTTTTTTCTGGTGGCTTTTAAACCTGTGAGTGCCGCAGACTGGAATCTGTGCTTCCCGTCCGTCCCACTTGGAGCGTCTCACCCAGGTCTTGCTTTTTCACTGTCTTCCTCCCTATTGGCTAGAACCACCTTTTCTGTTACTGTTGAAAACATTACTTTCACACTTTCTCTCCCCCCCCCCCCCGCCTTTTTTTTTAACTTCTGAGTACTCACTTAGCATTTTCTCCCCCAATGTAAATGTTTTCCAAAGGCATAAGATGAGAGGGGGAAAATAAGACTTTAGGGACAGAAAGAAGACCTACGTTTGCGTCGTGTCTTGACTGGCTCTGCTTGTGACTTTCTCGACCTGTCTGAGCCTTGTAACAATGGAGGACAGTGCACACTTCGTAGGGCTCCCCCGCCCCGGACTTTGAATGGAGTTTCCATAAAACACTGCAAGGTAGTTAAGTAGTGTCAGTTTATTTGGGTGGTGGGGAAGTGACAAGGAGAAAAAAGCATTTCTTAGTTCGCTCCTTTCTGATGTGAGGCTGGAGATGGCTGCGGAGAATCAGGAGATGAAATGGTGATTGCAGATAGCTAGAAAGGTTTTGTTGAGTAATTAGCCTGCTAGCTGTAGGGCTTAGTGAAGCTTCTAGTATACACAACTGAGAGGTGAGGAGAGTGAGGCTTGAGGAAGAGATAGTGGTTGGAGGTCACTTAGCTGCTAAGTTGAGTTTTTGGTGACAAGCATGTATGAACACTCACCTGTTCCCATTGAGCGTGGGTTTTCTAGGCTCTCAGGAGGGTAACGATGAGGCTGGAAGATTTTGGCACTTCCCTCAATCTGAGTGTCTTTGCTTGAAGCCTTAAACACTTTTCAGCTTAATTCAGGTCGTTCCCAATGGCCTTCTGTGTTCATTTGTAGAAGCCAGGGGAAAATCGAGAGAACCTGTACATTTGGGGCAGTCACTGGCTAGAGAGGGAGAGAGAACTCTGGACCTGCCGTTTGGAAGGGAGCAGGAGAATCTGGCAGGTTCGAAGTTGGTGAGGTGTGGAAGTAGCATCTAAATAATTTAGTTGTGTGCAGAGAAAGTTTAAAAAAAAAGAAAAGATTGAGAATTCCCAGCCAGTTACTCTTAACTCCCAGATTGTTAATCTTCAAGATGAAAAAGTTTTGATGGCAAGGTGAAGAAAGAGATACTAAGGGGACATGTTGAGTATGCATCTGTGTTAGATCTTGAGTCCCTGCAGAACTGTTTTGGGAGAACGAGAGCCCTGATTCTTATTGTATTCCCCCATCACTTGATTTTGGGGGGAGGCATGTCACCCTTGCTGTCCTTAGGTGTCCACCCTTGTAAAATAAGGGGATCTGGCTAAACTAGGATCAGAGTTTTTGGTTCTCGTTAAGGGGCACTTGGTGAGAAGTCTACCACCTGTGAGGTCTCCAAAAACATTTATTTTAATTGATAATAATGAGTCAAAAGATATTACTCTTGGCATGTGAGTATTTGATGTGACTCAAGGGTGAGTCAAATGCCTGTGGAGCCTGGAATCATGTTCTTTTTCCCGTTTGTCAGTAATCCTTCCTAATGCTCCAGTTCCATGATGTGATTTTAATGGAATTAAACTTGAACCACTTAGTTATTTTACTCTGTTGCCATTTTGTTTAACTTAGTTAACCAGTGCAAGCCAGCTAGTCTAGTACCCAGCAGGTACTGAGCCATTGCAGCCAATTATAGATTGGGCCTGGCGGTGCCTGTTTAGTTCTGGTTGATGAGGTAACTCAGGAAATTTTAGTTTCTGCTGGGAAAAAAAAAATCTCATCTTTGATCTTGTAAGTGAAGTATTCGACTTTGAAGACCCTTGAGCCCGGAAAACACTTTGTGATTTCTCAGCCTGAGGCTAACAAGAATAAACATGTCCCACATTGGTATAGCTTAAGCATCTCTGGGCAGGTGGAGGACATGTGGTTCGTTTACATCAGGCAGCCAGCAAGTGTGCTTTATAGATAGAGGAGAGTGAGGTACATATAACCTCTGCCTGCCCTGGAAAGGTAGCAGTCTTCTTTTTCGTGTCCATATCGTCCCTGGGCTGGGAGTATCTTTGAAAGCTGACCTTCATGATCTGGGATACAGACCTGTTGATTCTTACAGATGTTTGAGAAGTACTGGTTAAATACAGTACCTGATTGGTGTTATGTTAAAGGTGGAAAGCTAGTTCAAGTCCACTAGAGGAAAACCAGGCACACATTTACCTTTAGAATGTGGAGAATGGGTCCTGAGTGGGGAAATGTGGCCAATGCTGTTGGGTCCGCCTTTTGGACCACTGATCTATAGTTTAGGTAGGGAAACAAAGTGACTTGTGTCATTCAAATGAACAAATTAGTTTCATAACAAAAATCTTATTTAATAAATTAAGAATATGGATGTTCGCTGATGGCTTCGTGGTAAGGATTCTGGGCTTTCACTGCCATGGCTCAGGTTCAATCCCTGGTTGGGGCCTGAGATCCTGCAAGCGGGTGCCACTGCCAAAAACAAACACAAAAACAACATAAGTCTCCTTGGGAATTAAGGGCTTAGCCAAAAAAGGTGTAAGATAAAGGTTCTTAAATTGTATTGCCTTTAACCCTCATTGGGAAAGCCTGTGGAACGCTTCTCAACATAAGAATTTTAAGTGTGTAAAATAACCCATTTTTTAAAAAAAGAACATCTTCAAAATAAATCTTCTAATATGTGGCATAGTAAATAGTAGTATATGCTTCTTTAGTAATGCATTAAAATATAGTCTAGCTTTGGGCCTCATGATTTCCATAATTTTGAAGTAGAGCCATGAAAATTGGTATTTCAGCTGTTATTTGATAAGGAAAAACGGTGCTTCTGTTGTGTCAGTGGCCAGGTAGTTGGTAATGTGCGGTTTTACAAGCAGCAATGAATAAAATGTTAAGTTTCAGTTAGTGAAAATAAGGATGTTTATTTTTGTCATCTGTGTTCACAGAGCCCCTGATTTGTGTCCAGTGGCCCTTTGGGAGTCCATCAACCCGTAGATCCTAGGAGCTAGAGAGAGGACCGGGACTGTCATTTCTCTGTATTGTTCCTTTTGGGAGGAGGTTAGGACTTCCCTGGTAGCTCAGATTGTAAAGCGTCTGCCTACAATGAGGGAGACCTGGGTTTGATCCCTGGATCGGGGAGATCCTCTGGAGAAGGAAATGGCAACCCCCTCCAGTACTCTTGCCTGGAAAATCCCATGGATGGAGGAGCCTGGTAGGGTACAGTCCATGGGGTCACAAAGAGTCAGACACAACTGAGCGACTTCACTACACTTCACTTCCACCAAAGCCAAAGTTGTAAGCAAATATCCCTGCTGCTTCAAAACATCTTTTTGAAAACATGAAAGCCAATGTTTACTAATTGTCTCCTGGGCTAGGCACTGCCCTAAGCTCAGAAGACATTATTTTACGTAATCCTCACAACAACCCTATCTGGTGGGTTCTCTTATCCCCGTTTTAAAGGTGAATACATAAGCACATTGAAGTTTTTTCTCTTAAGTGGGGTATCTGTGATTCAAAGCCCTGTCTCTCTGATTCCAGGGCCTTTTTGTTCATTCCACAACTGTGAAGCCTCGGAGTTAAGGCAGTGCTTCTCAGTGGCCGTGTCCGCTGCTTTCCCCTCCACCCATTTATCGCTATGTTTCCTCAGTTCGGTGAGGCACTATCAGCATCTAGTAGGCCAAGGATGCTGCTAAACATACTACAGTGCGCAGCATTGACAAGCCGTCATATCTGTGGTGCCGAGGTGAGAATCCCCAGTGTAAGTTCTAACCAAGTTGTGAGCTGGGTGGCAAATCATTAGCAAAATTTCCCTGGTTCTTTTTGGAAGTCTCCACGGGGCCGGCGGGGTGGAGGATGGGCCTTACCTTTCCCTGAGGTTTGCACTGAGGTCGGTTAGCACTTGGTACCCAGCAAAGCCTGTGGCTTCAGGTGACCCTCCCTCCCTGAGTTCCTGAACCATTGACCTCTCCACCAAGCTCCTGCTCTTGCGTGTGTTTACTGAGCTGCTTTCTGGTGGAAACATATCATCTTTGTGTATTTTCAGTAGCTATAACTATAAGCATAAAACTTAAACCAGTTTAGATTTCATGTGGCTTTTTTGTTCTTTTGTTCAAGAGTAGAAAAAGCTCTCTCTCTACCCCTTCAGCATTATCATTATCTTTGTCCCATTACACTTTATCC